CTACTTACTCTGAAGAGTCTTTGGGACCAAATAAGATAAGGTCTACGAAGACTGCATTAAGTACTAAGTGAATATGAAGTGGTCAGAGAAGAAAATGTGAGCTTTAACTCAGCAGGTTGTTTAATTTAATTAATTTAATGTAATTATATCCTGCCAATGTTCCAAAAAGGATTTGTGGTAGCTCACCCTCCTTGAGTGGGCTCACACTGGTGTGGACAGAGCACCTAGACTGGGCTCCAGTCCCGAGAGTCCTGCTACCCAGTTGTGTGACCTTGGATAAGTGGCCCACCCACCTCACACTCACCTAGCTAGTTTTCCTTACTACAACATGAAGAATTTGAGCCAGATGTCCCCTAATCATCTGGGCAGTCTGTACTCAGCCAGCACACATGCCACAGGTTTCAGCCTCAGTATAGGGAGGTGGCCAGGCAGAGAACTGGGGATGCCATGAGGAAGGCTGTGCCCAGATAAGGCCAGTGGCCCTCAGCCATGGCCCTGAGTTTGACAGCAGCAGCAGCAGAGCACAGTAATTTAGAAGGCAGGCTCTGGAATCGAACAGATCAGGATTCAAATCCTAGCTATCATTTACTAGCTCTGTGGCCTTACACAAGCTACTTAACCTCTCTGTGCCTAAGTTTCCTTATCTTTAAAATGGGTATCAGAGTACTTATCTCATAGGGTTGTTGGAAGGATTAAATGAGCTCTGAAGTCTGGCCATGGCGTGTAAGAGGCTCTTGATACTTGTGTGCTGCTAGAGTAGATGGGCAGGGGGCAGAAGGAGAGCAGAGCCAAGTCCTCCACGGCTGGAGACATTTATTCCAGCACATGGTCCCTTCCTAGCTCTATGGGGTCTTTCTAAACCTATAGCAGCCACATTTTCCGACCGCAACTTGAAAATATGGCCTAAGAGTAGGAAACAGTATCAGAAATAGGAATTGTTCCAGACAGGAACATATGGCCACCTTACTCTAGCCCTCTTGGTGTAAGGAGTAGGGAGTACAAATATAGAGGGCTTCTCAGGGCCCTTTCCTTAAGCAGCCTCTGCCACCCTCTTTGGTTGGCAGCTCTGATGCTCCAAGGCTAAGTTCTGCTCCTGAGAGCATAATGTTCTTTGTCCATTGGCTTGAGGCACCATAGGTGGGCCAGATGGTGTTGTTCAGAGTGAGAAGGGCCTCCAGGGGACCCGAGTTGATGCTGTTTGAGGCTAACAGGCAGTGGGATGAGTCTACCAGGACCTCATGCAGGAACTTCTGCATCCCCTGAAAGCCAGGGATGCATGGGACTTGCCTGACAAATGACCGAGTATCCTAGATGCCACAAGTCCGAAGGCCAGTTCTGAAACCTTCTTCCAGGGTCTGGTTATGAATGCCACCTAGGAAAGTCTCATTCATTCAATCAGTCATTTATTGAAGACCAACCATGTGCCATGTCTGGCACTGGAGCTATAGAAATGCGTTAGTGATGATCCCTGCTCGCCAGCAGCTCACAGCCTGGCTCCTCAGCACTGGGGCTGTCAGGTGGGGAATCTTTCGGAGTGGATGTTATCTACTCCCACACATTCCCTCCCTGCCCACTCTGAAACCCAGATCCAGACCTCCATCGGCCTGTGCCTTTATTTTATCCCAACTCTGCCAGAGAGCCCTTCAACATCTGGGCCTAGCACCAGTCTCTTCCTCTCCCTTACTGTCCCTCTGAAAGTGCCACTCTGAGCTCTTTCTCCATCATCCTGGGAAGACCTGCCGGGTGGTCAGCACTGTCAACTGCTTCAGTTTGTTTTCCTTTTCTTTTCTTTCCGTCCTTGTTTTCTTTCTTTCCTTATCCTCCCCTGCTCCTGTCTTCTCCTTTTCCTCCTCCAACCTGAACCTCCCAACCCACCCTGTCTAGGCCCCAGGCTGCCCTCTGTAGCTGAACACCAGGCGTCAGCACAAGCAGGGCCAGCTGGTGTCATTCCTGCACCAAGTGTCCTCACCCAACCAGTGCCTCCTCAGCTTCTGGTGTGGAAGCCTTCTTCCTTCTCCTCTCCCTCCTCCTGCTCTTCCTCTGCTTTGGACCTTCTCCTCCCCAGAGCTTCAACTCCTCACACCTCTGACCCAGGGCCTCCCCTCCCTAGCTGAGGGCAGGGCATCACCCCCTCCTCTGGAGAGAGCCCCTCACAGCCTGTGGGACCTGTAGCTGAGTGGGGGGCTGAGTCCCTGTCCCCCACCAGTAGTGCCACTGCCCTCGCCTCGCCCTGGGTCTCACCTCCTTGTCCCCCTTAACTTTCTTTGTGCTCCTTCCCCATTCATCATGACTGCTGCCTTCCCCTTTGGGAGTTTCTAGGCCTCCTCCAGCCTCTGGGCGGATTCTCTGCAGGCTTTCATCAGCCACTTTGTTGTTGTGCTCTCTAGCACCTTCTCCTCTTCTTCCTGCCTCCGCCTCCCAGGGCCACCCCTTCCTTCTGCTTCCCCTCCTGCCCTCCCCTTCCCTGCACTGCCGCCTCTGTAACCTGTCTTACCACCAGGGCCTGAGTGCACAAAAAAATAAATAAATAAAAAGGTCAGTGAGTGGAGGGAGCAGCAATAACCCCTAAAACAGTACTATCAGTGGAACATGATTGATCAATTGAATTCCATAGCGGCTGAAAAATGTGGGATTAAGTAGTGTATTATACGCACAATGAGTTGAGGCATGATGTTCATTTCAAGTTCATTTCGCCGGCCTCTGCCACCAGATCAGGCAATCAATAGGGGCAGCAGATATCATATATCACCTCTCTGCGGGCTGGGGAGAGAGCACCATAATCTCTCGCAAATTTAGAGTGACAGATTTGTCAAGATCTGAAGGGCCCCTGAATAAATGAAGGCAAAGAGACTCCTCCAGCCAGTGACCTGAGGACAAAGCTTCAGTTCAGCCCTTTACACACACACACACACACACACACACACACACAGGCATGGGGTGAGACAAGCTACACTCAGGCATGTACACAAACCTCACAGAGACAGGAATTGAGTCCTGCCACACATGTACATAGAACCCCCCCACACACATAATGCATAAACAGGCTCACAGACAAATGCTCATTCTTACTCCCCAGGACGCAGTTGGTGACACTGCACTCACCAATACACAAAGACCCTCAAAGCCTCCCTTGGCCTTGGCAGCAGGGCTTCCCCAAAAGGTAGGAGGGCTCCAGGAAGAGAGAATTAGACACAATGGAACACACAAATAGCTACAGTGAGTCAAATTAGGGTGATGCACATCCTGTGGAAGAAGCAGTCACAGGAGAAATGGGCAACATGAGCTCCCGCTCCCATGGGGTCACATACATCCTTTCAAAAGGGTTCTTATTCTGTCACTTAAACGCACAGAGACCCTTATTTATCCAGATGTTTATTATATACAAGTGCACACATGTCGAATACTCACAAGAGGGAAAAATAAATATTTTCCACACCCCAACTCACACACAGAAATGCCTACACCCTCAAAGACTGAAAACTATTCCAGAACTACACACAGAAAAAGCACAGCTACCAGATTTTGTGTCCACAGGGAATATAGGCAGACTATCAAAGCTGCCTCTGCCTGCCTCCGACTTGATCTTGGTCTTGCTTTCTCATATTTCTCTCCCTCTCTCTTACCCGCCCCACCCCTTACACACACACACACTTTCTTCACTTTCCCATCTTCTCCAGAATAGAGTGTGGAGGGAAGATAGGAGATCCCTTTAGGAAAGCAGAGCCCCATGCTCCATCTGGAAGGCCAGCCAGGGAGGATGGCTGCAGGTTGAGGTTAATCAATATGTAATATTTTCTATGGTCTCCCAAATGATACTGTACGGTGTTACTGTATATAATGCAATATTGATTATATCATATCATATAATCACCTATAAACTGATATATATAACAGTCTCCAGAGGAATACCCTAGGGACTACAGCATGGGCTGGCTCCAGGCTCAAGGCTTCTCAGCTGGTCTTGGGCTAAGGAAGCCAAGGAGTGACTGGGGAGTTTCTAGGTCAGGGTTCAGGGAGAGGCATTTGGTCCACATACACTTTAAAAGCTCCAAGAGACCTGGAAGGAAGGGACAGAGGAGGCAGGGATAACAGTGTCGTGATAACACCAGGTAGAGTTTGACACAGAGACAGGACTGACCTGTGGCCCCTAGGGAGCAGACTCCAGTGGGACACCACCAGCCCTTCTTTCATGGAACAAATCTCAGCTCCCTGTGGAAACCCACAGCAAGTACCAGGTGACCCAGGAGCTGGCTCCTGATGGAGGCCAGAACCAGAATTCTCTAGGGGAAAGTGGCCAGGGCACAGCAGCAAGCACAGGTCTCTGTGGTCTACCCACGTGATTGCTCTGAAGCCCACGTGACTCCTCTTTCCTCCTGCTTGGTCTCCAGCCCTGCCCAACCCAACCTGAGCCAAGTACCTTAACTTTGCTCTCAGAGCCCCTCCTCCCTCAGGGGGCAGTTAATTACTTCACCCAGTCTCCGTGTTACACTCGGCCTGAGAGATTTGATGATTTTCAACCCTTGGAATCAGTGGAACTGAAACTCATCTTGGAGCCGGGTTCAATTCTCCACAGGCTCAGTAACACGGATCTGAGAGCCAGCTCCTCCCCTACGCTCTCCCAGGCTGGGGAACGGGGGG